AGACATGATTTGGATAAGCAGCTTTTCTTCAAGTTTTTTTTAGCATGCTTCTATCACTAAATATCAAATATTAATCCTAATAAAATAAGTATTTATTTTAATATTGACTATCGTGGTGGACAGACTTTAAAGTGGCCCTCATGACCCAACTCTTCGTGTTCATGAGTTTGTGTAGTCCCTTTCTGAGAGTGAGTGGGATCTGTGACTGACTTCTAACTAATAGCATATGGCAAAAGAGATAGGATGCCACTCATGTAATTATGCTGTTATTTAAGCCTCCATCTTACTAATAGACTTGCTCTAGAATCTCTCCCTGCACTGCTAGCTTTGAAGAAGCATGCTTCCATAAATGCTATAGGCACCAGGAAATGAGTTCTGCCAACAATCTGAGGGAGCATGGAAGAGAAATCTTCCCTAGTTGAGCTTTTAGATGACAACCATGTCTTGGCTGATAGACTGTTTACAGCCTTGCAGAGAACTCAGCTGTGCTATATACCCAGACTTTAGACCCAGATAAATCATGAGATAATAAATGTATATAGTTTTAAGTCACTCTGGTAATTTGTTACAAAGCATTGAAAACTAATATAGCTATGAGTACATATAGAAAAATACATCATCAAACTCAAAAGAAGCTCTTTAGTTAAGCTAGGATTATAGGCATGAGCCACCATGCCTGGCTAGTACCACGTTTTCTTTATCCATTCATCTGTTGAAGGACACTTAGGTTAATTCTACATCTTACCTATTGTGAGTAGTGCTAAAATAAACATGGCAGTGCAGATATCTCTTCAATGCACTGAGGCTTGTGTTCCCGCAGTGGGATGATGACTGGAAGGTTCTACTTGGCCATCTTTCTCCACCTTTTTCTGTGCATTTTATACATATCTACATGTATATGTACAATATGAATTTTTTAAAAAAGATAAAACATACTACACCTATGATTTTGAACTTAATTGTTCACTTACCATTCTTTGGAACTTTTATATGTCTCTGCACACAGAGCTACCTAATTCTTACAATAGCATTGTATTCCATGCAGTAAATACATCATAATTTATTTGACCACTGTTCCACAGATGGGTTTTCTGAATATGTAGAAGAAGACTACACCTCAGTGCAACATAATAGAATAGATATGTTTTTCTAGAAACTGGAAATTGGGCTGAAAATTGCTAGTCTGTCTTCCAGATGAAGGATCTGAGACTGGAACTCAGCAGTCATATAAGTGGCAAAGTGATCAAAGTCACAGGCAAAATACAAACTTTCTTTAATGACAAAAATTAAATTTTACTAATCTTGTTTGAATATGAGTAAAGAGAAAAAAATAAACCTGTGAATGAATAAAGCAAAACAGAAGAAAGGGCAAAACATTCTGAAGACTCAGAGAAAAATATACTCCTAAAAATTTGTACTGTAGGACACAAATGGTTGTTATTCCCAATACAATGTAGGAATATATATGGTTAAGAAAAAATAGCAGAAAATTATAAATAGAAATCAGCTTAGATAAAAATTGAGATTAATGATATGAGACATGGTTATCTGGGGTCTAAAACCACAATGAATTATTGACAGGAAAAAGCAATATGAATGAATAATGAATAATCTTAAGATAATCACATCAATGATAGGAGAATAAACTGAGAAACTCTACCTGGATTTAGAGGGGAAGAAAAATAGTTAAAACCAATTAGAACTAATAGAAGAGGAGAAAAAACAAAGTTCAAACTGAAATATATGTCATTCAGATAAACATCAAAATATCCAAGTTTTATATTTGAAGATATGGGCCATGTAGCTTTTTGCTCACATTCAATCCAGTGCCTGGTAGAGTTAAATAATTACTTGTTTAAGAAAAAGGAATAAGTTAAACTAATAATTATTTGAAAAGTATTTAAAGAAAAAAATTTCTAAAGTAACTTAACAGCTAGTAAACTTTGTATGCACAGAGAATATACTTTCTTTTTCAAATCCAATAGACATTTGCAAAAATTTCTTTAAGTAGGCTAAAAAAGAATCAATTACTTTCCCAAACCAGGAATTAATAGGCCATATTCTTTAGCCATATGTGCTAAAATTGAAAAGAAAGTAAGTTTTTATACCCCCCCATACAAATGCAAACCCATCTATGTGGGAAATCTTAAAAAAATCATTCTCAATAAGTATTGAGACAGAATTCAAATCAAATGATGACTAAAAATTACTTATAAGAAGAATATTTACAGAGCAATTCTTTAAGTGAGACATGAAGCTACAATAATTAAGGAGCATGTTATTGGCCTGAAGATAATCAGATATGGCAGTAGATCCAAATAAAGTCTAGGTGCAGACCACAGAATATGTAAATATTGTGTATGACAGAAAAGGAAACATGATAGGCACATCTGTTGAATGGACAAATCACTAGCTTTTCAAATTAACGAAATTAGTAAGCAAATATAATCTGAATAATTGGAATTAAGATTTTGGAATTAAGATAAAGTTAACTCTCTATTTCAGATCCTATATCAGAATAAATTCAATATAAGTAGAGTTAAATGCAAAAGAAGGAAACTATAAGGAAATAGAAAAAGATATTGACTATGTTTCTGGTCTGATGGTAGAAAAGTACTTTCTAAACATAAAGTCAAATAAAAAATATATGAGCAAATGATGAGATTTTACTAAAAATATATAAATAATGAAAATTGTACCTACTAAAGAGCTCATGGCCAATTAGTGTAAGTACCTGGAATATTTTGTGGAAGACATTGTTTAATACTCTTAATATAAAAACAGTGCTATCTATCAATATATGACAAACACTTTAATAGAGAAATGAGTTAAGAACATGAGCAAATAATTCACAAGAAGGAAACTAGCCAATAACATATAGAAAACCATATTCGTAAAAAAAAAAAAAGAAAACCATATTCAACCCCAGTAGTAATCAAAGTAAAATAAATAGAAGTATGTCACCAGTTCTAAATTTTCAAATTTGCATTCTTTGAAAACTGGTAATACACAGTTTTGGCTAGGGTACAATTAGGACTATTCTGGAAGAAAATTTTGGAAAAGGCATAGAAGCCTTAAAATCCTTGCACTTTCTGACTAGTTTTTCCTCTAAGAACATATTCTTTAGAATATCCAAAGAGATTCACTGCAGAATTTATATACAAGAATCTTCATTAATACATTATTTACAATATTCAAATAGTAAAAACAAACAGAGTAAGAATTGGATAAGATATTCTACAGTGATCAAAATTATGTTTATTAATAATATTTAAATGCTTAAGATATATTTTTAAATGGAAAATGTAAGTTATAAAAGAATATTTATAGAATGTTTAATTTTGATTCATAAATATCTACATTTTCTACATTTGCTTAATTATAAGTGGAATTTGAATTATTTATTTATTTATTTTTCAAGTGAAACAGACCACTTTATTTTTTGTCCTTTTTCTAATATTTTTGGTTTTTATTTTTAATTATCATGGTTACATAATGGGTGTGTATATTTATGGGATACATGTGATGTTTTGATACAGGCATATAATGTGTAATGACCAAGTCAGGGTGATTGGGGTATACATCACCTTAAGCATTTGTAATTTCTTTGTGTTAGGGACATTCCAATTTTACTCTTTTAGTTATTTTAAGATATATAATAAATTATTACCGAGTGTAGTCATCTGCTATATTATCAAATACTAATCATCCTGCTTTTTCCCGTTCTCCCTGCTACCCTTCCCAGCCTCTGGTAGCCATCATTTTACACTCTACCTCCATGAAGTTCATTATTTTAATTTTTAGCTCCCACATATAAGTGAGAACATATGAAATTTATCTTTCTGTGCCTGGCTTATTTCACTTAATATGATGTCCTCCAGTTCCATCTGTGTTGTTGGAAATAACAGGATTTCATTCTTTTTTTATGGCTGAATAGTATGCCATTGTGTATATGTACCACATTTTCTTTTTTCTTTTTTTATAAAGTTCTCACTGTGTTGCCCACCCTGGTCTCAAAATCCTGGCCTCAAGATAGCCTGCCTTGGCTTCTCACAGTGCTAGGATTACCAGACAAAGTGTCTCATGCTCTTCCCTCACTTTCTCCCAAACAGGAGTCTTCTCTGAGCTGGGCTGCCTTGAGTTGGGGGAGAGGTGACATGAGCACCTTTGTGGCCACCATAATGGACACTGCTCTGGGTCACACCTAAAGCCAATAGAGTTCTGGGTCTTGCCAAGTCCTGTGGATTTACTCAAGGCCCAAGGACTCTATAGTCAGCAGGTGGTGAATCCTGAAGGTACTGGGTCCTTCCCTTCAGGGCAGCAGATTCTCTTTTGGCCCAGAGTGGGTTTAGAAATGCCATCTAGAAGCTGAGGCCTGAAGTCGAGGGTTTTAGGAATCTGCTTGGTGCTTTTGTTGACCATGGCTGTGCTGGTACCCAGGTTGCAAGACAAAGTCCACTGCACTCTTCCCTCCCCTTTTCCCAGGCAGGAGTCTCTCCCTGAGCTGTACTGCCTGGAGTTGGGGGAGGGGTGACGTAGGCACTCCCTTGGCCACCACAGCAGATGTCTCACCAGGTCATGTGCATCACAAGCCCACTGGCCCTGAGCTCAGCACAGGACCAGTACTTGCCCAAGGACTGTACTCCTTATAGCTTGACTGTTAGTCACATTTATTCTGGGCCCCAGGCCACTTTAGTCAGCCAGCGATGGAGCTAACCTAAACTCAGGTTCCTTCTACAGAGGCTAAGCATCACCCTCTGATCAGGACTGGTCTAAATGGTCCCTCTGTAGGCACTGGCAGAATTCGGCCCTGTGTTGTGTTCCACTATGACAAGGCAGCATTGAATTCCAGTGCAAAGTTGCACAATACTTCACTTTCCCTTCCCAAGCACACAGATTCTTTCTCCATCTGGCCATGGAGTGGGGCTGCCCTCTTTCCTACCCTCTTTAGTGCCTCTTTCCTTAATATGATGTTAAAACCAGGTTCTGTGATTGCACACCTGATTTTTTGGTTCTTCTAAAGGTACTTTCTTGTGTGGATGGTTGTTCAATTTGGTGTTCCTGCAGGGGGATGATCAATAAAGGGTTCCATTTGGCCATCTTGCTCCATCTGATCTCCTTACTATTTTTACTGAAAAAAGACTAAAAGATGTTATTAGTGAATATCAAATCTTTGTAGGAGTCATCTAAGAGATTTCAAATGATTTTTATCTTTATACATTTTCCAAATTTAGTAAAATATTATAAACATTATTTATATAGGAGAAAAGGAAATGCTAAATACTTTAAAAAAATCTATCATATGTCTTTCAAATAAAACCTTTGAGTTTAAAAATAAAATTCTAAGAGATAATAAAGGTATTTGTGAAGATGTTAGTGAAAATACTTTATTTAATATTTTACTATTGGCTGTACTCTGAAAATTCTAACTGTTATAGGTAGGAGAATTTTACCATAGATGATCACATTTGATGAAGAACTATGAATTGAGATTGTTCACAATTCTCAATTACATAATTCTCAGTTGCCATGATTATATAATGTCTTTTCAATATTTATTTTTAGAAGGCCCTATGGTTATTCTTCAACTAATCCTTGAAATGTCTAAGGGTCTTAGAGCATCTTAGACAGTCAGAGCTGGAAGGAACCTTGGATCATTTGGTTCGATTCTTTTCATTGCACATCTGAGAACACAGGTGCATTATATGAGCTCTTCACTGAAACAAAGCCAGAAGGCAATGGTAGGCTTTTATTCTTCCCTTATTCTACAATGTGCTATGTAGATACATCTGAAAATGATTCTGCAAACCTGTCTAAGAGCTCTTGTAGTCGAATTTCTTTTTCGGTAGGGAGGTAAATTCCCTGTGGTTAGAATGGAATATTAGACAGATTTTTGCCTAGTGGTCTATGTGAAAACTGAAGTGTATAACATATGGCAACCCATTCATTCAGGGCTTATACATAAGGTGTACTGATTTACCTGGCCATACACTTCTTTTTTTTTCAGGGATTATTAAATCTTTAATATTGCACTAATTACAGAGAATTCCCAATCTTTAGCTGTAATTTCTTTATTATAAGGCTTCAAGTACAGTTCTCTTCAATTCTTTATTTAACGCCTTAGATTTTTAAATTAGAAACTAATATGGTTAATTTTTCTTTGATACAAACTTTGAAATATTCTTACTGAAGGTACTTTTGATCCAAAATGTTTTTCTGTCTCAGACTTAGTGATATAACAGGACTTTATAGTCTGTGCTAGGTTTTGATTAAATGAGAATGACTTCCAGATTGAGTAGTGAAAAATGTTTTGCATATGATGCAAAAGATATTGGCTCCATGATCTTCCTTATTTTATGTTACCAAATATTACCCTCAATCTTAGCTAGAAATACTTGGAATTTAACTTAAATTATGCATTTGTATAAATTATTCTTTGATTTAACTTCTTTGCTATGTATTATAATAACTACATATGCCTCCTAACTGCTAATGTGGTGAACAACTTTTAGTGAAGACACCAAATCAAAAGATTCAGAAAACAAATGAAATTTAGCAGTCACATGTGTTGGTTTTCGAGGTTTATAATGGAAAATCCATTATAAACCTGGAATGTCCACTAGGGATCCTGGCTGTAGCTTATGCGAGCCATTTAGGGAAAGAGCCCAGTGGTTGAGTCCATCACATTTCGGGTTTAGTCCTCAGCCTTGCAAGGCCAGAAATTTGGTCCTCAGAAATCGGAGGTAATTAGGCCCTAAGAAATTGCTTTATTTCAATAAAAATAGAGAAATATATAAACTAGAATATCGATTGACTTGCTTGTAATGAGAAATTTAACTAGCTAAGACTGAATTACTGTTATCAGCAGATCAGCATATTCTTTCCCTGTAGACAATAGACAGCCTACAACATTTAATCAGAAGGTTCATTTGATAAAAATAGATTTGTTTAATTTTAGGGAGTGTCTCTCCTAAATTAAGGATAGATTAAATTGAGACTACAAAGATGGCCTTACCCACTAGAGGATAGATAGTATCACCTACTGAATCCACTGGCCTATAATCTCCATCTGTTGCATGTTCATCAGCTATATTTTTATAACTAGTTCCTCTCTTTATGTAGGTTACCATGTCTGCCTTCCATAATGCCATATCAAATTTTTTAACCTTTTTTAAAATATTTCAAATGTGAATTCAGAATTCATACTCTAGCACTAGGTATACTTGCACAATCTAATTTCTTTACTGGTCACAATTGTACAAGTTATTGCCTAAGTAAATGTTTTTTAACTTAGTCTTTTAAGATATTTTACCATATACTTTATATAATCTTCCTACAAAAAAGTGAATTATGTTTTTTAGGTCAAACCAGTCTAGGAGGCAAACTAGATTCCCAAATGCGGTCACATCTACATTTTTAGATTTACCCTCCCTAATCATTGTGAGTTTCCAGTCTTTTTTTATCTTCAGTACTCTTGCAACTATTTCTGGAAATCACTGAGGTATTGTTTTCCCAAGGACTCTGATGGCCACAAAGGAAGTGTTGCATTTTTTGAGATTCCCACCAATGTCAACACTGCATCTGACTCCATCTGATGTCACTGGCATGGGTTCCTGCCCTCAGGTTGCAGTCTTCTGCCTGTTGTTCATATTGCCTTTCACTGTAGTCAGGACTGTGCTCTACCACTGCAAGAGCTGTGGCTAGCAAGCCATGTTACCGCAGAAGGAGCTGGCTAGGCAGATGTAAAAATAGCGGGGTTAAAATAGATGGTGTTAAAATAATCAACATCAAAACAAGAGACCTCTGGATAAAGTCAGATCCTGTGGAAATAGGTCAGCAGGGGCCAAGAAAATAGGTTGACAACTCAAAGAGTATGCCTTAGAATAAAAGAAAATGTTGGAGGTGGACAGAAGAAAAGGAAAGGGAGGAAAGAGAAAGGAGATTTATGTATCATTGTAGGAGACTGGTGCAGATCTGATATTAGCTCGTAGGATGTCTATAGGTGAATTAGAAAAAGGCGTCCCTCCTTCCTGGCAGAGGCAGCCCCTCCCATGGCACATGACTGGAAGAGGAATAAAGGCTGGATTTCTTTGCTTTTGCACTCTCTTGGCCAAGTGCATTTATGCAGAGCACAAATTGCACAATTGTTTAAAGAATTGAAGACATTTAGTAATAATATTAAATATTATTAAAGGAGACTGGATGCTTTGAAAAATATAAATGTTTTTGGTATTTAGTTACCATTAAGTAGATATTTATCTAGTGGCAAGAAATTTTTCCCAATTGCCCCTAAAAATAAGAAGGAAAGTGGGTTTTAAATAGTAAATGTATGTTAATTAGTGTTGGTTATCTAGTTTATGTTGTAGAAATCTAGTGATTCCTATTCCTGAATCAATTATAGTAGGAGGTTTGTTGGTTTACTTACCTCAGGCAATGTCATCTCACAGCATTTCAAACTCTGTTGTGCTCTATTTTCACAATTGCGATTTCCCCTTTTCTCAAAGTGAAGTGTGCTTGTCAACCACATCCAAGAGGCTACTCTTCAAAGTCAGCAGTGCCTGCTTTCTGGGCAGCAATATTCCTGGACAATACTGCTTTTCCAACATCTGTGGCTGGTGCTATGTTTATTTAAGTCATGGTTAAACTAATTTTTCCCCCTGAAACACATTTGAAATGGAATTTCTGGGTTATTTCTCTCTAGTTCTACCTAGAGGCAGGATAGTAAGTGATTTTATTTAATCCTTCCTAGAGGCAAAATAAGAAAATACTGCAAACCTTTTGGTTCTGTCACTTCCCTGAAGTTGTCTAGAATGTGTGTTGTCTGTGTATGTATGCATATATATGTGTTATATATCCATGTATATATGACTGTGTATATACATGCATATATATACATATATATGCCAGATTTGCTATATCAGATCTCAGAAATTTTAAAAACATAAACTTTCTTATCACCTTCCCATAGGTAGTTATTGCCCTGTGAGACATAGTGCCACTACTTTGTAAATTCAAACTATGAACATTTTCATTTGAGGTGAAATCTAAAGTTGGCTTTCAATAGTGTGTGCTAGAGGTGTGACATAATGGAGAGTCCCTGGAGGGAACATGGCCATGGAAGAATTTTAATATCATGTGTGCAAATAATCAAGCTGTAAACTCTGGCAGAAAAACGGCTACTTCACTTTTGTAGCAAATTGATTTTCTGGACTCATTTCAAATCAATTTCTAAAAGTGCTATGGTCATTTTTAGGCTGCCTGGACTCTCTTGCCTGCCCCTACCCCAATGTTTCTCTAGCTAAGTCTTCCTACTTTTTAGATTTAGATCCCTATCTTCTCTTCTTCCTTGTAGTTGGTCTATCATCTATTGTACCTCTTGGATATCTGCTTTCTCAGGAATTAGCCATGAAGTAGAACAGTCTCTTTAGCCTTCCCTAGATGGTTGAAGATGGCAACCAGCACTTTGTGGTTTTGATATCTTAGCTGCTGATCTTACAGAAAAGGGGAAAATAAAAAATAACATGTGATAAGAAGATGTAACATTTTTGAAAACGTAAAGGGTTCCTACAGGTATAGTCCTTCATCCAGAGGTAATATCTGGTGGCCTAGGTGAGCACTTGATGTCTTGTTCCTAACCATTGGGCTACCAACAACACCCCCACCTACCCGCCACCAGCTATAATATTTTTTTTGCCAACTCTCCTCTTAAAAACAATAACAACATCAACAAAAATGTCATTATTTTTCAATGTAATCAAATGGATTTTATTGCAGATCAACTGGCATGATGGTTAATGTAAGGTGTCAAGTTGGCTGAGTTAAGGGAAACTCAGAGACCTGGTAAAACTTTATTTCTGGATATGTTCATAAGGGTCTTTCCAGAAAAAAATTAGCATTGCAATCGATAGACTGAGTAAAGAAAATGGGCCCTCACTGATGTGGATGTCATCCATCTGTTGAGGGTCCACATGGAACAAAAAGAGGGAGGAAGGGCAGATTCACTTTCTCTTATGGAGATAGAACATCAGTCTTCTCCTGTCTTTGGACATCAGAACTCCAGGTTCTCAGACTTTTCGATTCCAGGATTACACCAGTGGCCCCTTAGTGTCTGAGGTCTTCACCCTCAGACCGAATTCAACACTGGCAGTGCCCTTAGGTCTGTAACTGGCAGACAGCATATTGTGGGACTTCCTGGCCTCCATAATCATGTAAGGCAATGCTCACATAGGCAATAACAGACATTCTTCTCCACGTATGAATTTATTCTTGTCCCTTCCTTTTCTTCATACTTCTGTTACTGGACTTCAGGTGTGGTGACTTTTGTTTTGAATATTATAGTTGAAACACCTTGAACTTTGGATCTGAAATCCTGGGAAACACCTTTTAATATACATGAGCCAATGTGCCAAGTGTGTAGTTGTAAGATACTGGGCTATAAGGACAATGGACACCTTCTAGCTTCTGTTTACTGCTTGTTTGCTAACCGCAAGGCATTATGAGTACATTATGGGATGCAGAGGAAAAAGACAAAGAATGCGGAAACCGGAGTCTCTCAGCTAGGACCTGGAATAGGTTAGAGCCTATCAGGGGCAGGATGAAGTAAGAATCACCGTGGGGGCGGATGCATGACCAGTGTGTAAACAACTGAGTTATAAAAAGGGGCCTAACACACAAAGGAGGGTCCCTGCCCGGAGAAGAGGCCACTGCGCTGGCACTCTGGGGGCTCGGACCCTACCTCGAGCTAGACAATAAAACTCCTTTTGATAATTACAGCCTCGGTGACTCTGTCTCTCTGTCTTGCGGCCCTGCGAATCTCAAATATAACCTAGTTTTCTGCTGATTCTGTTCTTTATCTTCTCAACACATTTTAAAAATATGATAATATAATATATGAAATATAAAATATGAAAATATAATAATAGAGATTTGAGCTCTAAATTGCTTATTTATGTAGGACCCAATTGCTTGACTTATATAGCCCACATTGGAATGAAATACTGAACATTTTCCTGATTCTTAATCAGCCTATCAAATTTTATTTCACTAAGCTTGAACTAATCTATATCATTCATTAATAATTTATGAAAGTATAACTTTGGTTGTATAATCTTTAGCAACAAAATATTTGAAAAATATTTTAATATTTTATTATTAATAAGAGTAACTTGTCTTTATAATAATTGTGACTTTATTAAAAAAAATCATAGTCGTTATATAATAGCATTTCAAGTATAAAATGTCCTTTTTTTATTGCTTTTTCCCAAGCAATTTAAATGAATGCTAGAGATTTAAAACCACATAATCATTATGAGTCAAATAGGAGATAATATTCCCTGGCATTATATAACTTATGAAAATTAGCATAGAGAATAAATTAAAGCATGATGAAAACTAGACAAGGTAATAATGAGGTTGACTGTATGGTTTCCCAAAACCCATGCAGAGAAAGGTCAATGGATCTCAATGGCAGAAAGGATTTGTTGATTGGATGTATATACAACTACTCACTATGCTGGAGAGAAAACCATGGCCAGAGAGTTTATATGACTTTCCTAAGGCTTGTTGCTGGCATATAGGGATGCAGCAACCATTTCTTCTGTCTTCTAGTCTTAAAACAGTTTATTAAACCATGCTTGTTGTAGTTATTATCTTACCAAATTTTGACATCTTTTTCAACATCATCATTATTACCATGAAATATTTCTGGGGGCAATGAACTGCAATGACTTAAAATACACTTCATTATTATACATTAAAAAATTCTCATAGGAAGTCTTATTTCCTTTAGGACTTTTCTCATTTTTATGTACAGAAATCCTTGCTATTATTATTATTATTTATTTCTGCATATTATAGGTGTACAAATGTTTAGGTTACGTAAGTTGCCCTTGCCCTGCCCACCCCCCCATCAGAGCTTCAAGCGTGTCCATCCCTCAGATGGTGTGCATCACACTCATTATGAATGTATATACCCATCACCTCCTTCCCCCTCCCATCTGCCCAACGGCCAATAAATGTTATTTCTATATGTGTACTTAGATGTTGATCAATGTAACTAATTTGCTGGTGAGTACACGTGGTGCTAAACTTAAGAAGAGCCTTAAATGAAAATATCTTAGCTCTATACTATTCTCCCTGTTATTCCACAGTGAGACTGCTTCTACTGGTGCATTTCATTTAAGTATTCTTGGTTAGAGGAAGTCTTCCATTTCCAGTCTACACATTGGAAAAAAAAATCTTGTTAGTGATTATTTTTGTTTTCAGAAACTAGCATTGATTGAGAATAACTCTGAACTCAAAATTCTAGTGTATACCTAGTCCTATTGTTGAGAAACAATCTATTAAATCTACCCTTTTCTCATATTTTGTATAGCAGTTTGGTTTGCCTGTCCCTATCAATATCTGTAACAATTCAGTCGATATAATTCTAAGACAGAGGCAAATAGTATTATCTGCAGACATTATTGCAATATCTTTCAGAAAGTATGCAACTATTTATAGGTAATGTGAAGCATTTTTCACATATATAGCCACATAATTGTTGTTTTGACAGTGAAGTTAGCTTTGACTATAAATTGGTTCTTTTTGAGATGCTTATTTATGAGAAAGACAAGTTCCCCCTTTCAAGGATTTGGAGGTACCAATATACATTTGAATAGTCTCTGATTGAAGATCTAAAACTCAATGTTAAAGAAAGAATTTCAGTTTCCACTGAAATGTGGAAATTGATGACCGTATCTTTTCACAGTGTAGAATTTTTCTTTTACCTTTCTCTGTAGAGGGTCTTGTCAATGGAAACTAAACAACATGCATCACCTGGTGTTTTCCTTTAAAACTTACACTGCTAAAAAAAGAATGGCCTATTTAGACTTTTCATGGAAAATTATTACCTTACCTTCTTGTTTTCTTCTTCCACGTCCTGAGGGTTACTCAGACATGGTAAAAGGGGAAACCTGACTTGCTCATAAACAAAAATATTTGGTAAAACTTTGGATTTCTTTAATCCATTACCTTTTCCAGGTATGATCAAGTTATTGAATAAAAAAAGCCATAAAGAGGATGGCAATAACTCAGTTGTCTCTCAAAGTATAATAAATAAAATCTGGATTCAATTTTTGTAATGGAAAAGTGAGTACCTCATTTGAACCCAACATTTGTGATGGTTATTACAATGAAGAAAACAATTCACCGATTAGCTCTTGGCAGTTCATCACAGTTGATTTTTAATTCTGAGAGCGAATAAAAGTAAGGGAAATATTCATATATATTAGCTCCATTAAGATTTTAAAAAATAAAACATAAATGTATTCTTGTTTTCTTATGTAAGCACAGTTAGAATTCATTTCTTACCTTTAACTCTATCCAACATCAATTTAGATTTTTCCGTTTAGTTTTCACTTCTCCAATGGGAAACTTTGTCAATTTAACATCATGTTCTTTCAGTTTTATCAACTAAGTAATATACCTACTACTTGTATAGCATTGTGTCAGACATTGGGAGAAATAAATACAAAGACATAGAACATGGGGTTTCTGTCTTGAAGGAGGTGGCAATTTAGCTGAAGAGACAAGCAATGCTTACCCAGAGGGTTGATAGCAATCTGATAATTAAAAACAGTATGATTTGCATTTATCCAGTTTAC